ATACTAAAAGAGGAAAAAGAAAAAGACAAAATACTAATACTAAAAACAAAAACAGAGATGAAAAGTAAGGAAAAAAAAAGAAAAAAAGGAATCTGACAGCCACAATTTTAGGCCTGTGGAGGTCTTTAAAAATTACATATTACAAAATAAGAAAGCTCTGTATCTAACTATCATAGGTAATAATGTGTAAAAAAAGAAAAAGCTAAACTAAAAAACTAGACAAAGTAGCCTAATATCCGAACTTAGTCTCAAAGGTATTGTTTAACAGGTAGTATCGGGTATTTGAGGCATGTAACCTATTTGTGTTGTTCTACGATCCATACACGGTTGCTTATTCCAGCTGATCACCTGTTATCCTGTTTAGGAAGCCTATTTACTTATATAAACAAGGTAAACAATACCTGACTGTTTTGGTGATTTACGTGTTGATCTTTTGGTGGGGGTAAGCTGAAACACCCACTTTTGACAAAATTTTTCTCAAAAAAAAGTGGTGGGTCAACGAAGCTTTTCTGTAGTTGTTCCTTGTAGGTTTTACGGTTGTATAGGTATCTAAAGTTTGGAATACTCATGGTATCAACCTAGTCGTTCTGTATTTCCAAAATATCCTTTTGGTTTGGATGCTGAATATAATAGAGGAGTCCGTCGCAAAAAAACTTGATCTCTACAAAAACCAGTCCAAAGTAGTCTGCTTCTCGGTTTTACACTCTTGGTACTTTGTCAACAATGACCTACTTTCGTAGGACCAGGTTTATTATTTACTTTAGCGTCTTCTATAGTGCTGACCGTAGTTCAGTTTCTTGATTTTTGTTGACCAGATGATTATTGGAAAGAGTTCAATTGTATATTTGTGATAAAATTTAATAATAATTATTACTGTATAATTTTAATAAATATATATTTACAAAAAAACTCTTTCTATCAATCACTTACACAAAATTTAACTAAAAATTTACCAGTTAAAAGTCTTTAATAACACATTATTTTACTAAGATAATTACTCTTGGCATCTTAATTAAACTTGTTCAGCTTTTAATTTTATACATATTCTAAAAGTTTTAAGTTTTTATCTTAAAAACTTATAGCATAAAAATACTAAAACTACTTTTAGCTCTAAAATATAAACTTTTAACAATTTCTCCAAAACTGTTTTTACAAGTTATTTAGTGATACTAAGATAAGTTGTTAAGCTCATTCACCTAATCAAAACAAGCTTTTAATGGAGATTTTGGCCTAATATTAACTAAAATACTAACAAAAACTCTTTTTGCTTCTCTTAAAAATTTTTTAAAAATTTTTTTGTCTTCACTCCAACTTTTTTCTCCCAACCTGTTTTTTGTATAACAAAATATTATTTCCAAATCTAGAATTAATTAAATTTTCTATTGTATCAATCAAATTACCTAAAACAGTAACTCAATTAATAATACAAATCTATTTTTATTAATTGTTATTTTTATATAATTCTTGTATTCCAATACACAGTTTAGTATTATATATAACTTTTTGTTACACCAGCTATATTAGCCACATTAGCCATACTTTTGTACTACTCTAAACCAATTTGGGTTATACAAGGTTATACAAAATCACACATACCACACTAGCAACAGTAGTCACACAAACAATACTCATAATATGTATTTAACTACATCTAGTTCTATTAAATTTACTATTCATAGTTTTAAAGTACTATATCTTAAAATTTTACTAAAACAACTATACTGGGATCTTTAAGCAAAAATCTACACCAACATATCTACTTCAACTACTCTTCAACTACTCAAGATCTTGATATATCCAGTTTTGAAATAGCTTACAATATGCTTCAACCAAATATATCTTAACACTAATTTTCTCATCACTCATTTACTATATACCAATCTTCTAATAATGAATCTTCTAATATGAACCTAAACCAACCTCTTGACTAGTTCAAACATTTTCCTGTTCTAACATCAAATGGTCTTTTTTCATTTAATTAACTCACAATTCAAACAATAAACTTCTTAAAACCTTTTCTTAAAGACTTTTATTCTAGCTCAATTATTCAACTAGCAACAACCAATAAACCAGCTCTTAAAAATAATTTCAACCTTTTACTTTACACTATAGCTCTTCAAAAACCCAAATTTGTTATTGATATTATTTTAAATTTACATCCTCATATTACTTAACCTATAGATATTCTATCAACTTTATTTGTAAAGCTCTTAAAAAACTACTACTACTTTCTTTAAACACTCCAACTATTTAAAAATATTTAACTTCTATCTTTTTATTCCTTCTTTATTAGCAAAATATATAAATGTAATCTTATATAAATTATTATATCCTAAAAAATTCTGCAATAATTATGATTGATGCAGAATATTTCAAAATTTTTAATTACAAAATATTATGAAATATATTACAAAATATTACAAAATTTGTTACAAAATATTTTGATGAGATTCAAACTAATTCAAATTTATTTGAAATATGCAAAATTTGCTACTTGACTAGACAGTATAAAAAATCTTTTATAAAATAAATAAAATAGTAAATTAATAATTTAAAAATGCGAATATGTTTGAATTTATCAAAAATATTTTAAATAATTCTTAATTCTTTTTTATTTAAAATTAATTAAATATCCAAAAATATAATAAATTAAAATATATTCATATAGCATATTTTTTCAATTTATTTCATTTTTTCAAATTTTTTTAAATTATACTAAAATTAATAACCAAAAAACAATTTATTTAAATAAATAAATACAGTCGATACTGTCTAAATGCATAAGTACAATCTGTTGGATAAGTTTTATGCATTTAGACAGTATATGCATTAAGACAGTAGTAACAGTTTGTGTAACATAATGATCAGCCAATCAAATGCGGCCTAATATACTGCACTTATTATCTTTGTTTTATAACAAAGATATATATAATTAAGTCATGACTACAGATACACAATAGTACAGCATTTAGTTAGAGTATCGATAAGTGCTGCCAGGTAAAAATCGTGTATTCTATATTGTATTTAAAATTTCTTAGTAATACACTCAAATTTGATTGATCATGTAATGGGATAACAATCAAATAACTCAATGTTAACATAATTAGTTAAGTAGTAGCGATTATGCATGCAAAAGCTAATTTAAGCACACAATTGCTTCTCTATTTTAGTGTTGTACTACATAAATCAGGGCATAATAAAATTAATGTTAACATCATATATAATAGTAAATGATACATAATAGTAAATGATACGTAGTTAATGATAGTTAATGATAGTTAATATTAAATTCATATAAAATAGAATTGGAATTAGTACATTCGTGCGTAAGTCATAATTTACACTTTTTTCAATCAAATAAATAATTAAGATACATACCTCGTTACCTATAATAATGATTTAAAAGCATTAGACATGGTGTTAGTAAAGCATGAAGTAAAATTACAACTTCATATTTTTTTAGCTGAATAATTAAATTAAGAAACAGAGAAAACTCGTTGTATATTAGAGTGGTATGAAAAATGGGCTTGCAAAGAAAATAAATACTGTAAATGAATAATAAATAAAGTAATAAAAAAATCAAAATAAAAAATAAAAAATAAAAAATAAAAAAAATAAAAAATAAAAAATAAAAAATAAAAAATAAAATAAAAGATAAAATCGATCTATTCAAGAGGGGCATATATAAAAAAGCACAAACCGATTAGTAGAAAATTAAATAACGAATACCAAAAATTCATAAATAACAATTAATATAAATTGAACAGACCAACATATTTCTCTGTGGGGTAGTGATGAATTCTGCGAAGGATTGATTTTAAGAAAACACTAGTTTATAAAAATAGAATTTCATCTTATGTTACATAGAGCCTTACAATCATAATATCAAGATTTTTTTTTTTTTTTAAAAAAAAAAAAAAATTTCTTTCATGTCTTCAAAAAAAATTAGCCTAACAAATGACCAGCGCAAAAAAATTTGTTTAAAAAAACAAAATGATCCAACCATCACACAAGAAGAGCTCACAAAATAGGCCAAAAAAAAATTTGGTCTTGAAAATGCCTCCAACCAAGCAACTCTTTCTCGAATTCTTGCAAAAAAAGGAAGAGTATCTTAAGATTGATAATGAAAAGGACCTTAGAATTAAACGCCACCGTACAGTACTCCAACCATAATTAGATGAAGCATTAGCAAACTGGGTTTTGCAATGTCAAGCAAGAAGAATTCATTTAACTGGGGAGTTAATATGTGAGAAAAGACAAAAATTTGCTGAACAACTTGTTCTTGACCCCCAAGATCGTAATATACCTGATTTTTCTGTTGGTTGGCTGCTTTCATTTGAGCAACGTTATGGTTTTAAAATGCATAGAATTTATGGAGAAAGCGGATCTGCTGATAATGAAGCAATCGAAAGAAGTTTGCTTGAACTACGTATTAAACAATATGCTGCGAGAGATGTTTACAATATAGACGAAACTGGTCTGTTCTACAGGATGGCACCAGACAAAACAATCGCCAGAAGAAAAATTGAAGGGAGCAAAAAAGACAAAACTCGTCTTACCCTTGCCCTTACCACTAATTTAGATGGTTTGTATATATTAAAACCCTTTATAATTAGTCATTCAAACAAACCAAGATTATTTAAAGGCAAAACTGGAGAGCAGCTTGGTTTTTATTACTGCTATAATAAGAAAGCCTGGATAACTTGTCTTCTTTTTAGAGAATAGATTGTAAACTTTAATAGTATGATGCAAGATGCAAATCAACACATCCTTCTCCTTATTGATGGCACCACTTCGCATGCAGTTGATGATGTAGATCTTACTAATATAAAGGTTGTCACTTTACCTCCAAGAACCACCTCCAAGCTTTAACCAATGGACGCAGGCATTATTGCTGCCTTCAAACACCGATATCGTCATTTTCTATTACAACATGCTATTGACCATGATGAGGCTAAGGAATCTGATATCTATAAAGTTAACCAACTAACAGCAATGCAATGGTGTGTTCGAGCTTGGTATTCAATTCCTCCAAAAACTATTACAAACTGTTTTTGCTATACTGGCTTGTTGATTATAAAATAACTGCCTCTACCCGTGAAGTTCACCCAAATGATGAAGATTCATCTGTTCTCGCAAAGTTGGAGAAATCACTCAAAACGTTGTTCCCTCGCCACCCTATGAGCCTTGCTCATTATACAAATCCACCAGATGAGATAGATTTGGTATATCAAGAATTTACAGATGCTGACTTATTAGCATTAACGACCCCAGAAAATGACAATGATGCTGATAATATAAATGATAGTAGTTCTTCTTTTACTACACCTTCAAACTCTATTAAACTCGACGCTATACGTACTGTGATTAGTCTTCTTAATACAACTATTTCTGACCACAATGCCATATTTAGAACATTGCGTTCATTGCAACGAGACATTTGGCTTCAAGTTTCCTCTTCAAAGGTTCAAGCGATATTAGATAGATTATGCAAGTAGGATACCAGATAAGAGTTTTACTTAATTAATTGCTTTTACAGGTTTGTCTTTTATTGCTTATTTTTTTTTTATTTTTATATTAATAGATATAGGCCGAAATAAATATGACATAGTTGAAAACAAATATGTTCTTATTTTTTTTTTTTAATCATTCATTTAATGTGCACAAATAATAGGATTATTCTTATTATTTTTTTTTTAATCATTTATATAATACGCACAAATAGGATCTTTACATCAGAACCTTTATACTATTGCACAAATAAAATAAGGAAAAAAAATTAGAATTATTATCTTATATTGCGTTTGATCTTTAATTAATTCATTTGAATGATATTATTCATTGTGATATTACTCTTTTATTTATAAAAACTTTTGCCATTACTTGGTCTTCATGTACCGAAGAAGTTATAAACAAAAATATATTAAATATTGCGGCTATTCTATATACCGAAGAAGTTATAAACAAAAATATATTAAATGTTGCGGCTATTCTATTATAGCACATTTATATAAAACACTTATTAATATATGATATTGATGTTAACTGTGCTGGTCAACATTTCAGGTAAGAGTTATCATTATACAGTATATAAATTTCTATTCTATTAAAATGCGATAAAATGGGTTAGATGGTGAGAAAAATAGATTAAACATTTAAATTTAGAAATCAAAATATTTTAATTTGGCAAAGTGCTATGTTTAGACAATTCAGATACATGTATTTTGCTATCTACATATTAGTGTTATACTAATGAGTCATGTGACTAAAAATAGCCAATAAAAATGTGGAAAGCAGACATTTAGTAAAATAAATTATGCAATTAGGCTTAATTACCTATAGATTTTTCTATGCATTATGCAAATAGACAATTTATGCATTTATAATTAGTAATATAAATGGGAACTACAAATTGTATGTAGTTAGGCGGTATATGCATTTAGACAGTATGCATTTAGACAGTATCGACTGTACTATAAATTTTATAGCTTAAACTATATTATTTTTTATTTAAAATTTTTAAATATTATATATAAAAAAAGCTAACTAATCTTATATTAAAAGAAATATATAAAAAATAAAAAAAAACAGCAGTATTATTCATATATAAAAAAAACAAACAAAAAAACTTTTACTCATCATTATTTGTATTATTCTTATTATCTATATTTTTTCTAAATCATCATCATCACCCAAGGATGAAGAACTAGAAAATATAGATTTAGAATATTTTTTCAAGTTTCTTTTTATCTTCTATAATTTTATCTAAATCTATTTGTACTAATTCAGATATTTTAAAATTTTTAGCAATTTCAAAATATAATAAATTATTTTGACTACATTAGCAAATTTTAAAAACTGTAATATTACGTAAAATTTATAATTGACATGTAATATATACAAGATTTTAAAAAAAGTAAATAGATATACAAGATTTTAAAAAAAGTGAATAGGTGCAATTTTTATTAAAAAAAATTGAGAGGGTGTGGCGACTTAGTGAAGTGGTGAAGTTGTCGCACCCCCAAGCGGTTGAGTACAAGTTCAATTCCTACTGTAGACGAAAATTGAATTTCGAAAAACGGATTCGGTAACTAACGTCGTGGCCGGGAAAACTCGAGACCCTGTAACTGTG